ATTGTTGTTAAATTTAAGAGACAATTACTTATCGTCAGGTATTGTAAGATCACAACAAAAACGTACTGGTGCCAATTCATTATGTTCTATTGAAAAGGATAAATCCACGTTGGAGATTAAAAAAATCTAATAAGGAGTTTAAAACTCCTGCATCACTCCTACTTAGGACTTCATTACTCTAAAATGTGCGTAGGACTTTTAAACACATACGCAGGAGATAGACGAAAAGCCTAATAAGGAATTGATAACTCCTTAGAGAGACTTTATCACGCATACGCAAAGAGAGAAATGATGTGTTATCAGAATTTGAGAGCGGAAGTGCTAGGGTAAAGTAATATGTTCCATCGCCGATATACCTGATTCAAAAACTGTCGAATTTCGGAGCATAATGGATTAATGAGTTTCATTGTACACTATGTCCTAGTCTGAACAAAGTATTTAACACATTCTTTTGTATAGTCAATAATACTGAAGCACATAAAACAGAATCACCGTTTAATTTATTTTGAAGAGAATGATATTAATAGTATCGGTTTCCTGCGCAACAATTAACCCAATATTAGAGATTTTGTTATTTCGCTCAAAATCATATATGGCTACAGGCATTTGGTATTTACTCAAGCGGCGTCCCGCAATAACAATATGACAAACAGTATTTCTTTTCCTGTATAATGTGCATTCTGAAGCTCTCTTGTTCATGATTGTCGCATTCTGTTTTTAAGCACTTTAATTGTTCATATTTGTAGGGCTTTTTAAGTTTTAAGTTACAAAATACTAATAAGGCTCTTGTTTTGTCACCTACGTAAGAGTAACAAAGTCATAAGAATGTGCTATAACTCCTACGTAGAAATTATTAACTCCTGCATAGGAGATATAAAGTCTAATGTAATAAAGTCCGTCGAACGAGTTTTTAACCCCAAATTAAGCTTTTTATCTTAACACGCAGGTAAAACATTGTCCTATGTAGGAGTTATAAAGTCATATGTATGAGTTATGCAGTCCCATGTAGGAGTTTTGAAGTCCCATATAGGAGTTAATTCCTAATCACTTTCTTTAAAGATTATTTAGAAAATTATAAATTGGCACCAGGACCCTCCCGTGGATTATCTCTTGATATAATAAATGATCTGAATGGATAGATTACTACAAATTATGGTAAAGTTTAACAATAAATTGTTTCTTTTGAGATAATAGATTACTTGATTTTAAGTGGAAAGAGTAATGACAATGGGCAACAATTAACTAATCATATAAATTATATTATTGTACAAAAAGAGCATTGGAAACGAGTGGGGTCAAAGATATTTTTCGCCGTTGACGTCCCAAAACGATTTCAGTCAAAATATGTATATTTTCAATATTCGGAGAAGTAAAACAAAATGCCGTTTTGACATTTTTTCAGTTAACATTAACAGATACATATACATTATGTGATAACTATTACCTATATTTTAAAGACATTGTGCGTAATTGTCCAAAACAAGAAAAAAGTTATAATTGGCTTTGTTATATTTTTATGACAATCTATGACATTTAAAATTCAGATAAAATTCTGGTTCGAAAATTTTAGCAGAACTAATTTAATCAGTTATTTTGGAATGTAATGAGTTATTTTGGAATGTACGAATGTCATATATTACAAAAAAAATCCGATTCTTTGTAGTTAACATTTCAGAAGTGAATTTTTTATTTAAATACACTGTTTATTTGATGTTATATTGATATCCATAAAAAGTTCCTTATGGTGAACAGCAAATAAATTCTTCTTGTATGGCGGGTCACGAACTTAATCAGCCTTGGACACGTTTGCGTCCGTGCCTTGGCATTTGCCATCACGTTGTCTAATTTGTAATTCATAGTTTATGTGAATAACATATTATACTTCCGATATCCGGAGTGTTTTTTTTTTCAACATCCTTCCGATTTTTCCGGAGCAAACAATTATATTGTGTAATTTCCGATAATTCCGGAAAATAATTTCATATTCTATACTATTTCCGATTTTGTGGAATGTATACTTACTACAAATTCCGATTTTTTTCCAGAATATATTTACTTGTTTTTATTTCCGATTCTCCGGAATAAAGGATTGTTCTTGTGATAAGCCATATACAATATACGCCAAAAAAATATATAAAACTGGTATATTAAACATACCTGTTTTAACTGTGATACGTTTGAAAGTTTAGTGCAAAAAACAACAGTTGAGTTGTCAATTTAAAATTGGTATTTGAAACATTAATGTAAGTACCTAACTCATATACGCAAAGGCACACATTTTATACATTTGACAAATTGGTGATAAATTATTCATTGTCAAAAATAAAACCTTTTCCCGATTGATAGAATATGATTTGCAATCATCTTTCCCACCAGATATCTCATTAACAGTATTCATATTTAACTTTAAAAAAAGAACTTTTATTTGTATGCATTAATTCTCCGATGAATTGTATTTAATTTAAATCAAAGATGTTAACAAATCCCTCAATATTCAAAATTGCGTAAATGAAAGGGAATACATATTTGCATTCATTGAATGCTTCCCTACATTCTAAAAGACAAGATTTGTTCTTGCGATTAGTCAGCGTTTATTGAGTTATAATACTAAGCATAACTAATGATGATTTTAAGAAGAGTTGCATAACAGTCGGATATATTCTAGGAACAAAAAATAAATTTGTATTTGCTTTTTTTATTATTTGAAGATTTATTGCACGTGTTAAGGTGTATTGTCTATGGTTTTGGGATTTTGGATGACTTCTGGAACGCCGTTTGAGGACAAGGCGGCGGCTAATAATGTGTTATCGTAAAATACTATAAAATGATAATATTTCATGCGCAATAAAATTTAAATCATACTAAATAAGAATCATACACTTTATGAACATAATGAGTATATAACTGCGGTCGTTCAAGTAGACCGTGTTCCATATATTTTCAACATAATTAACTTCTGGGCTTTTAGGGTCCCTTCGCCATATTGTATTCCAGTACGTAATATATGTGACCTAGTAACAGCTTGTTATTATGAGCTAGAATAAGATTTTGTTACACATTTTATCTTTTTCTATAAGGACTTTATCACCATTTCTTAAAGGTTTTTTTATCAAATCATCTCTACTGACTGTGTGTCCAAGTCCCGACTTGAATTATTCTATGTCAGGGAGCTGTCCATTCATCTGACGGAAGTTAGTTGTTATACGATTGTTTGTGTCAAAGATTAAGAACAAAGTGACACACTTGCCACAGCAAGATATTAAATAACTGTATCAGTCGTTGTATAATATTTTGAAATAAATATCGTGGTTTGTAGTTTCTTAACTGCCTGTTAGTTGTTTCAGCGTATAAGGAATTGAATAGTTACAACTTTTGTCAGAAGAATAAATATCTTTCTTAAGATTATACCTACTATATCACCTTGATAAATTATACACTGATAAATATCGATTTCATAACAAGAAGTCGTATGTGTAAATTCCCATCAGACAAGTATTTATTTGTATTCGGACATATAGTTACATGTTTATTGATCATCATGAAAAAAACGTAAGATTTGATTGTGTTAATTCCTAGATGAAATCATTTTTCACGACAAAACTCTCGGGATTTCGTTCTTGTCGCAGAAATTAAATGAAAAACATGCATTGTCAATAATGACGCTGAATTTAATAGTCTTCATTGATAAAATGCAAAGAAAAAAAGACCTACTGGACTAAGTCTTATCACCAAGATAAAACAGATTATTTAATTTCACCCATGAAATATGGTGATATATCAGTCAAATATATTTCATATTTTTTAAAAATAAATTTGAAATATGAAATTGGGCGGAGTCGAAACTCTTATTTATTTTGAGGGACTTCTTTTGCCATTTTGTTTGTAAATCTGATAAATACAAAACAACTTTTGTTGAATTTTCTTTTGAAAACGGTCTAGAATGATAGAAAATGGTAAGTAAATCTAAGTAAATTATTAAAATTAATCCGAACACCAATACCTTTAATTCAGTCATTATCGCTGTACCGACGTCTAAGGAGTTGTTTACGTGGCCTCACAATGTTGTGCTAAATATCGCGTGCAAAACAAGACAATAACTATATTACTGCGCTCTATACAATTGCAGTTGCGTAGCAAGCAAGGGGGTTCGTAACCATTTTACTTTGATAACGAAATTAAAAAAAGGTTATTTTTACGTTTTTCGCGATATATGGTATATATTTCCACTCAACATGATAAATTACCACATAAATTTCACTCGCCGTACCGGCTCGTATAAATACGTGGCATTTTATCATGTTTCGTGAAAATATATTCCATATTTCACTCAAACCAAAAAATACATCCTCTTACTATTGACATATTTATACCATATTTCAATCAAATTTTTGCTTAATATTGTCATTCCCAGTTTGTATTATTCAGCCAAGCCTAAATATAAGGCATATTAGGCGCTTATTCTTGAAAATATTACAGTTGTTCCCCTTATGGGAATACTTTTGAATGCATTTCCTCCTAAGAAGGTGTATATATTTTAAAGCGTAAAATACATTTTTTTCTATAAACAAAATGGAAATATGACTAACTATTTGGAGCTATGGGTCACTATTTTAGAGTAAGTTACTACTTTTAAAAGGGCTGACAAAAGCGATGTCCGTATTTTTGAACTTCATTTAAAAATGGGATTATTGGAACATATTTATTTTTACAGTATTATTTTCCAAAGACTCAATAGCATTGTTTGACGTTTTTTATTTCGGTCTTCAGCATTAATACTACTTGTTGAACATTTGTTTTATATTTGCTTTATATTTGCTTATCCTGCAACAGCTATGGGGCGAACATTAAACAATTTAATATGCGTATTTCCAACCATTGTTTTATTGTGAAAGACAGGGGGTCAATATAATACTTTTAGTATGATAAATACATGTTTCTGTAGGAAAACGAGACATGGTTGTAATAGTTATAAAACATGGCAGAAAGAAAAACGTTTACTATTCAAGTTTTTTTTTATTTATTCTAAATAGAATTTTATTTCAGTTCAATATCAGAATAAAACGTATTGTATAACCAACACTTTGCAAAATAAGACGTTAGACTAAATTCTTTCAATTTCATATTCCATTCATTTTTTCGAAGATGTAATTATGTTTATCATTATTACAACAGTTTATTGATAATTATTCATCATTAATTTTCTAAAATGTATACTTTTCGTCTTCAAATAAAAAAGAGGTTGTCTTAATTGCACAACAAATACAATAAAATTTGTAACAACCATTTATAGAACCATAAATCCCAGAAAAGTCACTTAATGTTTCTGATAAAATTAAATAACAATAGCTAATAGATAAATAACAATTATATAAATATCTAAAATATCATAATAAGAACAGAATACTTTAGATTTAACTGAAAAGAAAACAGTTTTAACTTTAAAGACTTCCCGTATGTTGTTTGTGTTTGATAAAAAAATGTATAAATCAAAATCCAAATATAAATGATTTTTTTTTTAATATATCATAATTGAATTCCATACATTCGCAAAACTCATTGTAAAACAAGTAATGCTAATGAACTTTCTTTAATCAGGAACATTAATATAATTATGTATGTCTGCATACGTACATGTTATTATAATAGCCTGACTTTAGATTCTAGAATAGGGAGCCAAACGTAGCTTCAAATATCACAAAGTGTCTCGCTGGTCCCAAAGAAAATAGAATAAAGCCAATTTTGGTAGACATCACAGTATAGGACACAAATCTAGCTTTCATTAAATTAGAAATTATCTCACATATACAAAAATATCAGGGAATTAGTACGTTGTATAGGGAATTAGTAGTATGTAATGCTAAAAAAGTGTCGTACTGTTTGGACTCATAGTTTAAGTATGTTTGTTTATTTCAGAAAATAAGAAGTTAGACAAACAATTTACTTTGCATTCATTCTAAAAAGAAGCCATAACATCTAAACACTTAAAATAATGCAAAACTGTAACATCATCAATGTTTACGTGTTGATCCCAACATGCCTCTATGATAAACTATTATATATTGTTGTAAATCTACAGGTCTACTGACCGATACTCGATGAATAATCGGGATTATTAATGCAAATACTTCTAGTGTAGAGGATTAAAAAATTCCTCGGCCGGTGCTGGGGAGGGGCGTTAGAGACGATGCATTCTTTATGCACATAATCTTTACTCTCATGAGCATACTCAATCTAACTAAGTCTGCCATTTTCAGCTTTTCGCATTTTTTTTATCAAAAGGATCTCCCATGTTTTAAAAGTTGTGTCATAATTTAACAATATATTTATAATTAAAATACATACACATAACACTCTCGTTATTTTACTGTCTTGCGCAAACCTGGCATGAAAGACAGTCACCCAATAAATGTAAAAGAGAAAATTCTGAGAAAACAATAAATAAGATATATATTTTAAAACGAATTTGTAAACATTTGTTCTTTTGATCTGTTACACCATGATGAATACATAGGATATTTTCCATTTTGTCATTCTCACGGTATCACAAATATCGCGCATGCGCAAAAAATTGCTACTTGTAGTCATAAAAGGACTGTGGTTCTTGTGATTTTCTGTACAATTTATAAATAGTTTCCATCATTCTCTTCATTTGCATGTCATTCTGAAAATACAAAATAAAAACATCATTTATACTGACAGAGATGTTCATGTATTGCATGAAAATTGATTTTTGAATCATTCCTTCATGTATCCGATTATTATATTACACACATTTTTAAATGTTTTATTTAAAACAAATACAATTTTACCAAAAGCCAAATATATACTATTAATTATTAAACACATGTTGCTGAAAATATATTTGATATTATCAAACTGGTCTTATTATATTCAATGGTTGGTGTACTATAATTAACCCTTTGATTGCTAACTGCAACAAATTCTACAAATACGTCCAGTGCAGACATTGCACTGTTTGCTTTCAGTCACTACATATTCTGAAAATTTAGGGTTGTTTTGATTTCATTTTATTATATGATCTAAATATAGCTGCAATCTCATTGGTCCAAACTGTAGTCAACAGAACTTTTTATAAAATCATATTCACTGGGGGTAGTATCATATTAACTGGCTAAATTGGATTTTCCAAGTCTAAAAATAGATTAAGACTCATATTCAATGACCATTCACCGTAGACTGTTAATTACGTGTGCTAATTAAAAAATAATTGTTGCGTTTTGTTCTTTATGGCATATATCTCGATTGACAAATCATTACTTTACTGTTATACTTAAACGCTAAACCGCATCGATGAGTATAAACTTGAATTACTTTCGTATGCGCAGCGTTCGCGTAGTCGTTGCACGCCTAACACGTGCGTCTTTTTTCCCGCGCTTCAACGAGGCAAAATTTGTACATGTATATAAGGTTGTACTTTTTCGTGATTTTTTATTTAATTCTGAGCCTATTCATATAATAAAACAATTATTGACTAGTGAGCCATTGAATATGATGTGATATTCACCGGCAGAAAGTCATATTGACCTCGGCTATCGCCTCGGTCAATATGTCATCTGCCGGTGAATATTACATCATATTCAATGGCTCACTAGTCAATAATTGTATAATGTTTAGCGTTGTAACGGTAAATAGTCAAAGTAAAAGTCATAAATGAATAATTATTGTTAATAGACTATCCAGTATATTTATTGCAAAACTAATAAATTCACTCCATAACTCTTTTTCATAATGGATGTTGTATATAATTACAAATTGATGAATCGAAACTGATATAAAAGACATTATTGATAGTAAAGTTGATAATAGAGATGGTGAATAAATGAATAGATTATTGAATACGACACTTATGTTATTAAACAGGTTCAAATAAGAAGATTAATTATTGCTTAATTTAAATTTCATTATATTGATTAATTCGCTCGTGGTGAATATTTGTAGCTTTTTAGAACAACATTCATGTCCCGCTTTTACGAACCATCTAGTGCGGATGTCATAAAGATTGCCGGTCGAGTTGGATCAAACCCCGTCAGAGATATTCCGCTATATCCATGAACAAGAGACTTAACACTTATTGGTAAGTACTAGTTTGTTCCAATAGAGTATTCGAGAGTATTTTAATATAATCTTATAATAGCTTCCTACCCAATCAAATATAAAACTAAATTGTATAAAATTCAAAATTGTACAATATTCATAATAAATGATAAGATATTCCATATAAAGGAGACGATTTCTTTTCTTATTATAGTGCAACAGCAGACCGTAATATCCGGGCATTAATGAAATTTCATTTTCATCTTTGTTGGGCTTTCTTTAGGGATTTTGTTTTTCTCTATTTTAAGTGTTGCTGAAACAAAACTGATGAAAGCATACTAAGAGCAATGGGTCTATAATGAAAGTCGTGTCCTTATTCAGAGAACAAATCGTACCATCGAGGCCTTCGTGGCCAAATCGTTAATGCTGCTTACTTCAAAATACTTGCCCGTCACCGCTGCAGGTTCTTATACTTCTACCATCCGCTAAGCTGGAATGATTCTAATTGCCTTTTACAATATCTATGTGACTAGAAACACACCAAATAAAACATTTCCACATTATAGTGTCATCAAACTTACCGCAGAGTGAAATAAACACATGATAGGATCTTCGTCTTCGCCGTTCGGGCAATGTATCTTCCGGTCGCATAATGAATAATAGTCAATACAGTGTATTCGTTTCCATATATCTGGTGTCGGACAGGCTAGCATATCATTGTTATTCTCTGTCTTTGGACATGCTGAAAAATACAAGTGGTATATTTGTACAGAACTATCTATTCGTTGCATAAAAATGGTCTAGTGTACATAATAAGTGTATATAGTTTATACACATGTTATTAGTACATGTGTGATATGTGAAAATGTGATGTATGCATTTTCTTAACCAAGGTTTCATTTGCTGAAATAAAATTGAACAATCGTTCGATTTTTTTGTTGTTGATAAAATGAAGTTATTCTTGCGGGTTTCTTCCGGCATAAGATATATATTTCATGTCTCTAATACTGTGACATTACAGAATATATATAATATGTTTCTAATTGTAAAATTCAACTTGTACAATGAGGTGAAGCGATATAAAAATACACACTGAATAATTGATGGAAATAGATTGATATGATACGAGTCGTACGTGGTATGTAGAATTACGTGTTGATGATGAAATGGTGAAACAATAGACCAGTCCTGTATGGGATTTGGGATTTTTTTTCTGCATTACTAAACATTTACACAAATCTCGTATCATTCTATCATTCTTTCAATTATTAAATTTGCATGAAGTGCGTTGGATTTGTAGAAATAATGCTTTCACCATTAAAATGATACAACTATATTGAACGTGAAGGATAATGTTTGAGAAATGAAAATGTTATTCCATGTCTGAAGACTTAGTAAACATATAGATGTTATTAATTCTGAACTTTTATAGTTTAATATGACATCATGTTATGATGTTGATAAAACATGTTGAAAGTCGTTCAACTAAACTCATGTTTTCGCGGCGTTAAAGCAAAGTAAAAAGTCTTAAATCAGGAAAATAATATATTCGGCAGTGACATACAGTGTCAAATTTAAAGGAGAATGAAAGCATTTCAGTGACAAAAAGTCTAGAATATTTGACATCCCTTCAAATATTAGGACATATTTTTCAGTATTTCTTAAATAGATTTTATTGATAACCCGGTATTATGACATTCATCGCTAGAATAAAACAGCAGAAATTTCAAATATTTACAGAATATTTAGATATAATGAAACAGTGGGGCATTTTACCGAAGAACAATTTCTTAAAGTTTAACTAGAACTGAATGTATGATTTTTCTTACATTCAGAACATTTTACCTGGAATGCTATTGTTTAAGCAATATAAATTCTTTCCTTGCAGAATTCTTTCCATCAATGAACGGAAAAGTGCATACGATGTTTTTCATATTTGAAGCTGTTTGTGTTAAAATTATACAGAATTTATTTCAGTTCGGTTGTGTAGCAAGAAAACCTATCCAATGCATTCCTGAAACCAGTACTAAACAATGACGGCAAAACCTTCTTAATTAAATAAACGAAACTTTTTCCTGGCCGACTGTGTACACATGAGGCCAACAGTTCCCGATGCGTTAACAGCTACTTTTTTAAAAGTTAAATACCACGTAATTATGTCTTTATAAAAACATGTATGCAACTGTTTGCATTAACAAGAAATAGTTAGCATTGATACATAAACAATCAGTATAAACCATTTCTTTATTCACCATGTTGCGAATTGATCTCCTTTTATATTACATGTTCCGGCTGTGAATATGATATTAATACTGAATAAATCATATCCAATAGCCCTAAAGTCAATGATTTTAAACGGGATAAAGTTATCTAGAATATGTACACTCCTTAAAAGGCAATTTTGTCTAACATATGTCATACCCTAATAGTTAAAGGACATCAAAGACCTCGTTTGATACAATTGTTTATATCAATATATAACAGGTTTTATAGCATCAATATCAAACATGCAATATATAGTAAAAGACGTATGACATTAAGTTGAAAGACATGTTTTTGACGCAAAACAAAACATTTAAATTATATTACGTCTGTTGTTAACGCAAGGTCTTAGGGAAATAACCATATACTGTCTGGGTCAATAAATATTGTCAGTTTTAAACATCATATCTTAATAATAAAATAATTTATCTGACTGATTTGTAATCATATTGGTTATTATACCGATTACAATATAAAATATCATACCCATTATTTTAACAGTTTACTAGATAACAGTCTAATAGATACATTTATGTATGGTTCTTATATAAGTGATCCTTGTACACATACTAACTGATTTTCTGGTCTTGTTAGGTTAATCCCTTGATATAATATATGTAATTGATCTGAGTGGATGATGCTATGACAAATAATGCGTAGGTTTAACAGATAAAAACTTATCAACAGGTATTTTGGGATAACTTAATATAATAATTGAGATGATAGATTTATGACAAACTTTTGTTTAAATTTAAGAGACAATTACTTATCGTCTAGTATTGTAAGATCACTACAAAAACGTCATGGTGCCAATTCATTATGTTCTTTTAAAAAGGATAAAACCTACGTAGAAGGTAACAATCTAATTAGAAGTTTAAAACTCCTGTATAGAGCTGCATCACTCCTACTTAGGACTTCATTACTCCTACATGTGCGTAGGACTTTTAAACACCTATGCAGGAGATAAAAAAATAAAGCCTAATAAGGAATTGATAACTCCTTCGAGAGACTTTATAACGCAAACGCAGAGAGAATAATGATGTGTTATCAGAATTTGAGAGAGGAAGTGCTAGGGTTAAGTATCTTGTTCCGTCGCCGATATGCCTGATCCAAAAAGTTGCAAAGTTCGAAGATTATGCATGAATTAGTTTCAATTTACACTATGTCCTAGTTCGAACAAAGTATTTAACACATTCGTAAGTATAGCCAATGTTACTAAAGTACATAAAACAGAATTATCGTTTTATTTATTATGAAGAAAATGATATTAATAGTTTCGTTTTACTGCGCAACAATTAACCCAATTTTAGAGATTTAGTTATTTCGCTCAAAATCATATATGGCTACAGGCATTTGGTAGTTACTAAAGCGGCTTGCCGCAATACAATTTGACATAAAGCATTTATTTCCCTGTATAATATGGTATCCTAAGTTATGCTCCCTCGTTCATGTTCGTCGCATTTTGTGCTTTAAGCACTTTGATTTTTTCATAAACGTAGGGGTTTTAAAGTCTTACGTAAAAGTGATACAATATATATTGATAAGTCTTGTTTGTCACCTACGTAGGGTAACAAAGTCCTAATGATGCACCATAACTTCTTCGTAGGAGATAATATCTCCTACGTAGGAGATATAAAGTCTAATGTCGAAGTTATAACGACGATCGTAGGAGTTTTAAACTCCAAATTAATCTTTTTCTCTTAGTAGGCAAGAGTAAGATCGTCCTACGTCGGAGTTATAAAGTCATATGTTTGAGTTATAAAGTCCCATGTAGGGGTTAATTCCTTATAAGGCTTTTTCTCAACTTCTTTATATTTATCCCTGTTTGGAAGAAAATTAACAATTGGCACCAGGACGCTTCCGTGGGTAATCTCTTACTTTAATCAATTATCTGAACATATGTTTGTACAAATTACGGTAAACTTTAACAAATAATAGTATTTTTGAGATGACTGGATTTTACGTGGAAAGGGATTTGACAATAGAACAATAGTTTAATAAACATATACATGTATATAAATGTCCATATAAAGAGCACTGGGAACGAGTGGGGTCTGATATTTTTACGCCACTGAAGGAACGAGTGGGGTCTGATATTTTTACGCCACTGACGTCCCTTTAAAAAGAAATTCAGACAAAATTTAGACAAAATATGTATATTTTCGATAATTCGGAGAAGTAAATCAAAATGTCGTTTTGACTTTTTTTGAAGTTGAATAAGTAATTATAACATTAACTGATACATATACGAGGGTTGTTCGGGAAGTTCTGGGAATTTTGTCATATTTCCTATATTTTTTGTTTCTAAGACGTAATATTTCGCACATACTAAGATTAGCATATCACGGAACTATTCCTAAAAATTGAATAGAATCAGACAACAATAGCCGGAAATAGCAGTAACCATAGCAACACTATAACGCCGCACCGGAGCAATCCGACTCTAAAGAAAGGTATAACGCGCTACACTAATAATATTTCGTAATTACTATTCAAAGGTAACGAAAAGTATACATTTCTCATTATAATATATTTTAAAACATATTTATTGATAAACATATAATATTATAAACATAATATTTATAAAAATTAAACATTTAAAATATAAAAGTTTTGAGTAAGATAAGTGCAAATCAAATTTTTAACCGCATGCGTTTTTTACAGGTTCTGAGGCGGGATCTCGTTAACGCGATACGGAAGAAGCGCTCCCACATAGACCATGACCGCATCATACTTCATCAAGACAATGCGCCGGCCCACAGAGCGGAATCTACCCAGTTAGAGATCAGCTTCTTGGGGTTTGAGATCTTAGAACACCCTCCATACAGCCCGGACCTCGCGCCGATGGACTTCCGTGTGTTCCCGGAGCTCAAATCACAGCTGCGTGGAAAACGCTTTGACTCAGCTGACGATCTTGTTAAGCATACGCAAGCTATAGTCTCGTCCTTTACCGATAGCTGGTACGAGGAAACATACAATAAGTGGATCAGCCGATACAGGAAATGCATCGAAATTGCAGGTGACTATGTTGAAAAGGTGCGACGATCGATGGACTTTAACGTCGCATAACGTTGCAAATGACGTCGGCGTGCTCCGGGTGTTTTTTATATGGTTATTTACTATTTTTATTATGTTTTAGTTTCTGTGTGTATGATGATGATATTTTCAGATACTGTACAGTATATATTGAAATAAATGCGTATATATTTATATTTACGCTAACCCGACTACAGCGTGTGCTATAAAACAATTCTCAGAACTTCCCGAACAACCCTCGTACATTATTTTAACGACATTTAATGCAAGCGTAATACGTTATTGTCCAAACCAAATTAACAAAATGATTATAATTGGTTAAGTTATATTGTATGACAATCTATGACGTTTATTTTTTTTATAAAATTGAGGTTCGAAACTTAAGCAGAATCAATGTAATAAAGTATTTTGGAATTTGATATGTTATTTTGGAATGTGTGTTAT